TGTTAATTAGCAGCAATCCGTGGTGCTTGCTGTCCTTTGCAGGAGCTGCAGCAGCACCAGCAGCAGCTGCTGCAATTGAAGCAGCAGCAACAGGAGCAACAGCAACAGCAGCAGCAGAATTGGGAGCAACAACAGCAGCAACAACAGCAGCAACAGCAGCATCAACAGCAGCAGCAGCAACAGCAGCAGCAGGCGGACCTCAGCCTGCGGAGTTGCTTCCTTGCGCTTACTCTCGGTAAGTTGGTGTTGCTGCTGTTGCTGCTGTTGTTGCTGCTGCTGTTGCTGCTGTATATGCTGCTCCTCCTGCTGCTGTTGTTGCTGCTGCACATGCTTGTGTTTTTGCTGCTGCTGCTGCTGTTGCTGCTGCAGCGGAGTGCATTCGGCTGCAGCCTTCTGCTGCAGTTGCTGCTGATGTCTTGTCTTGCTGCTTGCTGCTGCTGGACTCGGTTACTGTTGCTGCTGCACAGAAAGCAGCAGCAGCAGCAGCAAGCAGCATCCTTGCTGCATGCATAGATGCATGCATGCAACACGTGTTGCTGCTGCTGCAGCAGCAGCACGACAGGGTGCTGCAGGCTGAGCATAAAGAGAAATGTCTTGCTGACAGCAGCAGCGAGCAGCAGCCTGATGCAGCAGCAGCAGCAGCAGCAGGCTCATTAGAAGAGCAGCAGCAGCAGCAGCAGCAGCAGGAGTTGCAGCAGCAGCAACTTGTTCTTGCTAAGACAGAGAAGAAGCAGCAAAGGGAGAAGGAGCTGCAGCTGCTGATGGTGTTGCATGGATGTTTGCTGCTGCATACACCAGATGAGCAGCAGCAGCAGCAGCAGCAGCGGCAGCAACTGCAGCAGCGGCAGCAGCAGCAGCTGCCACTGCAGCAACGCCACTCTGCTGCTGCTCTGCAGCCTTGGGTACATCAGGTGTGGCGCCAGCAAATCTGCTATTGTTGCTTCTGCTGCTGCTTCTGCTGCTGCTGCTGCTAATGTTCGTGCTGCTGCTGCTGCAGCTGCTGCTGCTGCTGCAGCAACAGCAAGTGGCACTGCACGTGCTGCAGCAGCAGGAGCTGCTGCTGCCGTTGCATGAAGGAGCTTACAGTGCAGCACGTGCAGGTTGCTGCACGATCTTGCGTCAGCCTTTAGCAACAGCAGCAGCAGCAGCAACAGCAGCAGCAGCTGCAACAGCAGCAGCAGCAGCAGCAACTGCATGCATGCATGTGTATGCAGGTAGTGGAGATATTATCTCTCTTATCTACAAGTCGTGTTGAAGGAGAAAGATCAATAATTGCTGCATGCATTGTGCAGCTATTTTCTTGCTTCCCCCGCTGCAGCAGCAGCAGCAGCAGCAGCAGCAGCAGCAGCAACAGCAAGGAAGATTGTAATTGCTGCTGCTGCTGTATACCTGCCGCCATTAAAAAGTTTTTAAGTGGAAATACACCCGAAGAAAAACTTACAGGACTCGCTGTTCTAAGGTAAGCTAGGGTTTAGGGTTTAGGGTTTAGGGTTTAGGGTTTAGGGTTTAGGGTTTAGGGTTTGGGGTTTAGGGTTTAGGGTTTAGGGTTTGTATGTACTCAGAGATGCTGCATTAGATTCTTTACTTCTTCCTAATTATTTATTTTCTCCTTTTGTAGATTGTCTCTCTACAGAGGACCTCCGCGTAAGCAGCTGCTGCTGTTGCTGCAGCTGCTGCTGCTGCTGTTGCTGCTGCTGCTGTTGCTGCTGCTGCTGTTGCTGCTGCTGCTGTTGCTGCGACTGCCTGCCACCTAGCCGTAACCTAGCCTAACCCTAAACCCTATAATCCTACCTGTCTCCCTCCTCGAACCCTAAACCCTAAACCCTAAACCCTTATTTGCTGCTGCTGTGTATATACTACAGGTACGGCGTGTAGCAGTAGTAACATTAGGGTGTATATACACCTCATCCTTAGGTGCTAATTGGGGTTTAATGGAGAAAACACAAACCCTAGCTGGATATCTATTAGAAGCTCTACAGGTAGGGTTTAGGGTTTAGGGTTTAGGGTTTAGGGTTTAGGGTTTAGGGTTTAGGTTGTTGTATGATGAAAAAAGCAGATAAAGGGTTTGTACAACCGCTAAAAAAAAAAAAAAAAAAAAAAAAAAAAAAAAAAAAAAAAAAAAAAAAAAAAAAAAAAAAAA